TGCACAATGAGTTACTTCGGTTTTATGCTCCCAATAGCGTGCATTGAAGGTCTGTGAAAGGGTGTGAAGTTCCGAAAGGGTAGAAGGTTTCCCTACCCTGGCAATGTCATCCTTGATGCATTCTGGAAATCTGTTATAGAAAAAATGATGGAGCGCGGCTTCTCCATAACCATGAAGTTGAGAAGCATGTCGATTGAACTCGACAACATACTTATTGATGTGGTGCCCATCCTTCATATCCAGGTTCATAAGTTGGACTTCAGCGTTGCCCACAGGATCATGAGGACCGAAGTTGGTTTGAAGTTCGTTGACAAACTCCTGGTAGTTATTCATCCAACGAGGATGAAGTAGAGAATTCTGATCGAACAGCAGGTCCGGCTCAAACCAATCAAGAGCCATCCCTTTGAGGTAGGACTGCACAAAGATGACCTTGGCGCGGTCACTAGCGAAAGCAAGGGGATGGTCCTGGAAGTTCAGTTCACACTGGACCAGGAATACTCGGAGTTCACAGGGATCTTTTCCATTGAACTGTTTGGGCTCACGGACCTTGGTCCAGAGAGCGGAAGATGGTGGAGGAGGTGGACGTCCAGTGTGATGAGCCAAACTGGCGATGGCCTGGGCTAGCTGTGTGATAGCTACATTGGGGATGGGCTCGGCAACGTCAGTGGCTGGAACAGTGGGGATGGGAGGATCAGCAGGAGGAGGGTCGATGAAATCGGGGACCTCGGAACCGAGTCCAAAGAAGTGTACTGGATCTATGGGCTGTTCCATGGCGTCTCCGAAGTCGGAATCTGCAACTGGTGATCGATTTCTAACGGGATGCATGATCAGAGTCGATGGGAGAGGGGTTTCTAAATTAGAGAAGCTGCAAAACTCAACTGGGTTTCTCGCCAGACAACTAGGACCAGGCTGTGAGGGTTCGGGGGATGGTGAGGCGGAGTTAGGAACCAATGTGCGTAGTTGTGAACGAGTGCAAGGGGCTTTGGGTGCCATACAAGATGTGTACTGTCAGGGAGTGATAAAATACTGTTAGAGACCAGAAACGAGATGAAGGAGTTGTCTCCATGGTGGAGGGCTTCGGCCTCAGCAACTCAGACCAGGAGCGCTGAGCCAAGTTACATGTCCTTGCCCTAATTTACTTACTGGCAATGAGAACTAAAAAGGGGGATCAACTCTGGTCGATTTTATCACTGGAGTGTAACCTATCTACAAGTTAAGTATATATATAGTTACAGCGAGGCGGTCCTGTGAATGGCGGGACTGAGCAGAGTGGAGCTAACAGAGTTAAACATTAGCTGACTGAATATTACTGACGAGTTGGGTTATGGGGTTAGCGGAATGGCAGGCAATAACCCAGAAATGGAAAGGAGGGATAGGCCCAAAGGTAAACTTGCAGGGCAGGCAAGTGAATTGCCCAGCGGGGGCAGGAGTGCGCTAGTGGATGTCGGAGCTGTCTGGAAGCCTTTGGGGCTCTGTACTTAGGGAGGCATAGGTATATATTGAAAAGAGGGGGTGGTGACCATCGAGGGAGTCGGAGGTGATTGCAGAATACTGTATCTGTACATACCTGATGCCAATCCAACTCCTGGACCCCCATCTTCACCACCTCCAGAGTCCTACCCTATCTCCATCTGCTCCGATACTCACCTCAGACTGAACATCACTCCTCTTGCCACCCTCCTCCTCTTACTCCTCCTCTTACTCCTCATGACACCTCCACCCTTCTGTCACTCTCCTACCCTACTTCCATCCACTCCAATACTCACCTTCGGACCTGACACCTTTCCTCTCCTCCACTCCTCTCCCCACTCCTCTCTTCTCTCTCCTCCCTCTGACCCTCTTCCGCCAAACCTCCGGCAAGTTACGACCTTCCACCGCTGTCCCATACCCTGTACTCAGACGCTGCTTGTACCTTCACTCCAAGATTCCATCATAGTTCTGACCTTGGACTTTGACTCCACCTCGGCTTAAGTCCATTGCATTGGTGACCTCATACTATGTAAACACCATTGCCAACATTCCTTGGACTTTCAACCCCACCTCCATAACCTCTGTAACCTCTGCAGCCTCCAAGCTCCACAGATCATACTCGGCACTTTCACCATTTGTAATGTATCTTTTGCACTTTCCCCTCATCCTTATTTGGACTGCTGCTTCTCTCCATTCTAGCCAGTTAGTCATCATCCCCACTTCACCTCGTCCTCCTGCCCCTCTGGGCTTTGCCCTCCCTATCTCCTTTCAGATGTACCACAGGTTCTGACCTATGACCTTCGGTACCACTCTGCTTCCATCATCCCTTTGTTCCTGTTCAGACGCCTTTGTTCCGATTTGGACCCCCTTTGTTTTCCTTGTGCTATCATCTCCCTATTATATACAGGTGCCTGTACATACTCATTTTGGACCTTCAGTCTAAAATTGACCTGAAATGCCCCCTAGAGACTCCCTGCTCACTGCCTCTGAAATTAAGGACCAAATGGACAAACAGCAATGGCACAGTGCTCCGCATGAGTCACTGAGGCCAAGGTCCCTCCTTGCTAAGTCTCCAGTTCCCCTCCGGAATTGTCCACCCTTGCCCAGTTCTAACAAATACGGGGGCTCTGAGGTTAGTGAAGAAGGAGCGGAGGTAATCCGGAAGGATCGGAGGTAGTGGAAGACGATGGCCATGGATGGATATGACACACTGTGCCATTGCTGGTTGTCCTGGGGGTCCCTAATTTTGGATCTAGTGAGGGGGAAGTCTCTTAGGGGGAATCAAGTCAATTTTAGACTGAGGTTACAAGTTACTAGGTACATTGTATATAAAGGAGGGGTCCGGAGTCAAAAGGAACAAGGGTAGTCTGAAAAGAGACAAAGGGAACTGGAAGGGGAACAACACCAAGGGTCAAGGGTTTGACTCAATGGTGTTTCCCAAAGGAGGTAGGATGGGAGTGGGGAATGGCTAGCTGACTGAATAGAAAGAAGCAGCAGCCCAGTGGAATTGAATGGGACAATGCAATAGCTGCAAGGTCTGAAGTAAGTCTGGAAAGTCCAAACTCGGAAGTTAAACTCCAGAATATTGGCAAAGGTAAATAAATAGAATTAGCTAACCAATACAATGGAGATAACCAGAGGTTCTGGAGATGGACATGCAAATGGGATTCTGGAGCCAAGGTCTGGAGTCAGGAGCATAGTGTTGCGTGCTTGTCTGGAAGGTGTTGAGGTTGAGGTTGGAGATGGAAGGGAAGTGGGCTCTGGAGTCAGTTTTGGAGTTCTGTCAGGGCCTGGCCTCGGACCTGGAGGCACCCTGACCTCACACTATGCAGGGCATGAGATGTGTAGTAAAAGAAAGGGAGTATATACACTTGCCTATGCGGGGCAGAAGAAGGGTAAAGGTCTCATCTCCCTGCATGGTTGCTATATAAAGGAATGGGTCACATGCCCACAACTATACAGCTCCTAGAGTTGTGTAGTGTGACCCAGAGGGAACATCCAGGTGGCAGTGCCCTGTAAGTATGGGAACATTCTGGGTGAGCTGCTTGCTCAGAAAGTTCCCATGCTATCCCATGTGCACGTGTACACAACACACAAAGGCAACAACAAGGCAACAATCAAAGAATAAAGGGAGTAAAGCAGGTGGGGAGTCCAGGGCACCCTAAGGCAGGGTGCTGAACCCTGACAAGTTCTGGGAACCTGGAGTGGAGGTCAGGATTGTATGGATATGACATTCCAGGCAAAACTGGGTAAAGCCCAAGAGCAGGCCAGGGTGTTCAGGAAAATTGTATTGGAGCTCACCCAAAATGATGAGGATGTCTGGATTGCACTATGCCATGCCCAGCCACAGTGGCATCAAAGGCAATGAGAAAGTAGACCAACTAGCTAAGTCTGGAGCCTCTTGCAGACCATACAGAGATAACTACAAATCACTTCCATATGTAGAAGGCTGACACAGGAAAGAAATGGAAGAGGAGTGGAAGCTATGCTGGGTGAACACACAAAGCCCATGCTCAGGTTTCTATGCTGCAAATGTCCCTAAAAGAAACCAAGCATTTCAAGGAGTTGGACCAAAAAATGTTTAGCCACACTATCCAATTCTGCATGGGGCACACCCACACTGGGGAATACTCCCATCGATTCAGAATCCAAACAGAACCTGAAGGATGCCACTGTGGAGCCAAGTTACAAATGAGGCCCCACATCCTGGAAGACTGCCCCCTCCAGTGGAGACAATGGCCCTTCATAAACCTTATGGGACAGCCCAAGGGAATATCCAAGCTTGTGAAATTTCTGAGAATTTCCCATGCAACAGACAAAAAACTGAACAACTGAGCTGAACTGCATGAGAATGGGACTCAAAGGATGTAGATCAAGGAGCAGGGGGGAAGAGAGAGGAAGAAGGAATAGATTTATTATTGACAACATACACCTTGACAAAACACACTGATGCTACCAACCCCAAGGATCATAAACCCTGATGACACACATGTACACCCTTCTCTTGTAATGACAATCCCCTCATGTACCCACTAAGTACCAGACAGGATAGCCACATGACAACAAGGCCACAGGGTAATAAACCAGATTCTCCCCCTCCTATTACTGTCAGGGCACACCCACCTGACCCAGCCCCACCCAGCCCCACTTCACCCAGTACCTGGGGCCACTGTGGAAAAGTGAGAAGCTAACCTTCTTTACCCACAGTAGCACTGTGCCCTGTGATGGGCTGTCACAGGTCAGGTTGTGGGTTGTAGGGAAGGGTCATGGGGACCCAGAGGTCATCCCCTGACAGAAAGGTGTGATTTTTCTCATTTTTATGATACCAAAAAATCACCATGGCACAAGTATTATGATTCATAATACCTTCTGTGGTTAGATAGGACAAACATTTTGCAGCAAACTGCAAGTGGCTAGCTTATGTGGTTGCCAAGATATACATGATGTTTGTGACTCTGAGGTGCAGATTAGTGAAATCAGCCTCACAGGGGAAAACTGTAGCATTGGTGCAACAGAGTCCCTAAGGAGCCCATTGTTATTCATGTACTATATTGACTGGGAAAACCACCAAGAAAGTCCATTGACAGCACCCAGGATTCCCTGTCATTTAGATGTAAAGTAAACTTGCTGAAGATTCTCTGCATTGTCAACCTATGGAAAGATGTCAAATTTTGATACAAGGGATTCAATTGCAACACTAACCCAGTCATGGAGGAGACCAAGGATAAGTGGTAAGCCTTCATATTGTGGTCCAATCTCATATTGATTTGAACAGGAGACCGAGCCTCCACCACCACTTGTAGCACTATACACAAAAAAGACCCACTGTTCTCCACTAGTTATACACCCTCTGAGTACCGATATCCTAAGTACTAGTGTGAGGATAGTATGGAATGGGGGCAGCTCCCTCGCACCCATGTTGGCTACAATGAGATGCAGCAGCTATGACAGCTGGAGGAATGGCTGCTCGCACGTTATCACGCTTTGCCTCAAATATATTTGAGGTCACGGGTCCATCGATCGCAGTTGGATTTCCAAGTGCAGTCACTGGATCGTCGAGCAAAAAAGCTGTACAACAAGGGTTAGAATATTTAGTCTGGAAGGACCATGGTCCTACAGGTATATCGTTCAGGTAGTTTCGTCATGAGAAAGTCCACCACCCCACCGAAGGAGTGATTGCCCAGGAACAAGGTCTTGGGAATAGGGTATTCAGGTATGATGTTGACATCCATTTGGTCAGTAGACATGGCGGAGGCAACACGGAGTAACACAAGATTTATCAAAACTCTGCACCCGGCCTCAGTCTAGCAAAGGCTTGAGTTAAGGACAAAAAAAAAACCGTACATCTTACTTACTGTAACAGACACATGCTTTCGAACCAACTCTATCAGCTCTTTCAAAACCTTCATTGAAAGAGCCCTGTCCCCAATTTCTGCCGACCCCAGTTCTTCGGCAAGTGCCTTCTTCTCTGGAACCAGAAATAGAGGGCCTGACTTGATATTTACTTGCAGCAGTACAAAGGAGTCGACTTTCGAGAAAGAGACGTGCTGTCCGATATCAACAATGAGTCTCCGTGGCAGCAAGTTGATAAAACGGTCGGCACCTTAACAACTTGAAGCTTCTCGCGGAATTGCTCTAAAGCAGTGATGAGACCAGGTGGAAGGTCTTCGTCGTCTTCGACTAGGGCCATTTGGAACTCGTTGAGAGTAAGTGAGAGCGCATTCACGTCATTGGCGGTAAGGTCAGATATCTTTCGCTTCTTAGGAGGCATTTCGATGAACAATTAGCACCTGTGCACGAGACCCCGGCATCCTCCGCATAACTGGCGCTTAACCGCTATCTTTATCGATTGCTGGCCTGCGGGTCTACTTACATAAACTGCAATATGACCTTCATATGAGATGTGACACTTATTTACAGTAATGGGTAAGACCTCCATCGGCATTAACGCCTTGTGTGGTCAAATAAATTATAGGTAAAGCCTAACATTCGGGTCCCTCACCCACCTTCCCAGCACCAAGAACGGGTGCCCCCGGTTGCAACATCGAGCAAGGTGACATTTGAGCATTGTAACGGAATCAGCTTCAAAAATTGTTGTAACATGTTGTAACGGCGATTCCCAATTTCAAACATAATATTAGACGCACAAATTTTTTCCGTTAGCTGTAAGTAGTTTTCTATCCATCATGCATATCATACACCTCACATCTACTTGCTCCCCATCACTCTTCATGCTTCCACTCATTGGACACGTGTGCAAACGCTCCCACTTTGTGTAATGTCGGTTCAAACGTCGATGGGAGACCGGAGGGAGTCGAACGGTCCATTTCTCTGGAAGGAAGGCAGACGGATGCGTAAATCGGACCATAACAACGTTGCCCTCCTCCCACAAGTCCAGTGCAGGGAGCTGGAGCGAGGTAAGCTATCATCTCATGCTTTGCATTTTGCCACCAATGCGAATAACCGATACAAGGTCAAGTGTCACCGTCCACGCTCACGTCGGGGGGGATGGGCCCGTCGTGGCTCGTGTACCGGGGCTTCTTAATGGTCTGGAACGCGCTGGGGGGAGGGTTGGAAGGATCAGGTGTCACGCTCCGGCTCTTTGGCTTTTCGGAGACCGTAAGGCGGGACGGAAGTAGTGAGGTGCACGCGCTGAGGTGTTGGACAGTTTGAGTGGAGACGTTGAGATATTGAGCGTTGGAGGCTGGGGGGATCCAAGGGGAGGGATTGATGCATTGGAAGGAGTGAATGTAGATGGCAAGGGCACAGTCGTCAAAGATGACAGAGCAAGCGGTTCTATCAGGGTCATGAGAAGATGCGCGAAATCCTTCCCATTATCATGTAAAATCTGGAGAGAGCTAAATACCTTCTTGTTTTGATCTAGCATCGCCAAGATTGACGCATCAACATCCTGTTGTCCAATGTGCGGATCGTTCACTTGCCGCTTGAACATAGTCGCAAAGCATTCAATCTGCTCTCTGGCCCATTGGATCAGTGCTGAATCGTTCAAATGAGCAATCAGTTCTCAAGGTATCAATGTCGCAACATACTGGATGCCATCTCGTTCTCCTCAAAACTAGCCAAGTACCAATTAGCCGTGTGCTTGATGCTAGTGAAGACCACAAATGCGAGCTCAGCAATATAGGTGGATACTTCACCCTCGAATGCAATCATCCTGGTGCGTTTCTTGGTGAGCGAACCACGCGCGGAAAGGAACACGTTACGAGCAGCAATGCCTTCGTTCAAACGGAGAAGGAGAGACGTGACACCCACGACAGCTGACTTACTGAGTGAGGGGTCTGAGAGTGAGTGTAAGAGAGCTGAAGTCAATTCGGCAATGAGTGACGTCAGTTTGGGGGCCAAAGAGGGCAACGCCGCGAGGTCCTTTTGGCCTATGGGACAACATCATGCCTATGATGGTATTGTAATTGGCCCAGAACCTTACCTCGCTCGACAATCTCCACCGCCTCACCCCACCGCCATAAAGCAATAGCTACCGTTAAGTCGTCAGTTAACTCACCAACTGCTTGGGTCTCCACTTCAGCTCGATCCGCCGATCCTCTCTCGCATCGTGACAGGACGGGCAATGATGAGAGTCCAGCCTTATGATCGGCCTCTAGCACATTGTACATCGACGCCCGCTAACTCACGGCTTCAGCGAGAACTCGTGCAATACCAAGAGCAACAGAACATACCTCCCCAGCAGTCCACAAACTTCTGCGACGCTCCTGTTCGCCTTCGCGCTCCTTGCGGCGGCGAGCCGCTAACTCTTCCGATGTGGTCTTGCATGTAGACAGCAACACCCTTTTATCCGATGATTTTCCACAGCGGTAAACAAAGGAGTCCTTTCCTTTTCGCACCTTGAATGCCCTAGTGACGTCTCCACCGAGCCTCAGTAACGCTATATCAGTGCGATCATATTAGAATAGTGACTATGTCGCGTAAGACTGCGACAAGAGTTATACATGAGTTATAATAGGAGATATAGAATGGTTCTCACCTCAGACTCGAATAAGAGATCTGAGGGAGAAAAGTCTAAGAAATTCCTCCCTTATATACGCGACATTCCTGAGTGGCAACGTCGTCGTACAAAGGGAGTTTTAAGTTGAATAAGAGGGGAAAAATGCCCCCAACGCCTCAAAGCGCCCCAGAATGACCGCTACGAATAACCGCTACACAACTACCCGATGCAAGGTTGGTATTCTAATAGATCAATGGGAACTTACCAGGAGAATCTCTAACGTCGAACTACGGATATGTCGCGCAATGGCCAACAACGCTCCGCAACAAGCTTCCCCCCCTCGCCCGATCGTTTCTTCTCCGCTGCGCAACTAGGTGTTGGAAACCACCTTGGCCTATAAGGGGCATTTGGTGTATGTCAGGGTTCAGCACCCTGCCCTAGGGTGCCCCAGACTCCCCAACCAATCCCTTCCTTCCATTCCTTCATTGTTGCCTTGTTGTTGCCTTTCTGTGTTGTGTATCCGCGCGCACGGGATAGCGTGGGAACTTTCTGAGCGAGCAGCTCGCCCAGAATGTTCCCACAGGTCACAGCCACAGTTCTGGGCAAAGCAACTCGCCCAGAACATTCCCACGCTTACTGGGCACTGCCACCTGGATGTTCCCTCCGGGTCACACTACACAACTCTAGGCGCTGTATAGTTGTGGGCATGTGACCCATTCCTTTATATAGCAACCATGCGGGGAGATGAGACTTTTACCCTTCTTCTCATCTCATGCCCCACATAGGCAAGTGTATATATTTCCCTTTCTTTTACTATACATCTCATGCCCTGCATAGTGTGAGGACAGGTCAGATGGGGGTTGGGGTCAGGGAGCCTCCAAGTCTGAGGCCGGGCCCTGACAGTGTAATGGTAACACACCAGCTTGCAGTTTGATTCCCAGAATGTCCAAACTTTTAGGTCTCGTGACCACCTGTCATATCCATCCCCGGCCATCGACTTCCACTCCCTCCAATCCCTCCGGACTACCTCTGCTCCTTCTTCACTAACCTCGGAGCTCCCATATTCCACAATCACCTCGGTATCCCTCGATGGTCACCACCCCCTCTTTCAATTTATTACCTATGCCTCCCTAAGTACGGAGCCCTGAAGGCTTCCGGACAGCTCCGACGTTGTAACGGGTCTATCGCCTAGACTCGAGACAGAGAGAAGGGGGAGGGTGGTAGTGTGTGCGGGTGTGGTTCGTTGGGCCGGGTTTTGGTCTGTGGGTGCTACTGAGTCTGCAAAAACCTCAAACAAACACTCACCTACATCTCTCTTGGATGTCAAGGCTGAGTATTATGATGTGAGGGGTCTTAGATGTGAACAACTAGCTCAGAGGGGGCGTTAGGGTCGTGGATGGCGTCTTTGCCACTTGGATGCAACTTCTGCTTGTCCCTTCACGGGTCTATTCAATACTAACTTGTTATGTACAAGCTGTTATCTAGTTTATATATGTTTGAAATGGAATGAATGGACTGGGGGAATGTAAACGGGCCGTTAGGCAACCGTAAATGATGAATATCCAATTGGGAACAAAGAAACAATAAGAGAAATATGAATGAATGGGGGATATATCATAACGGGTCCGAAATGGGAAATGTAAAAGTTAAGTCCGTAACGCTTCGCCACAGCGCCCACCTATCCTCCCGTCAGCAACCTCCTCGTCTCCAGCTTTCCAACGAGCCCCTATTCGTCCCATTTGGTGCAGTACTTCTTGAGATGTGGCCATTGACAGGTGCTGTCAAGACCACGTGAGAGTATACTCCGTGCTGAACCATCCGGGTATGGGATTGCCATTCTGGGAAATGCTCCGGGGGTGAAGAAGGGTGGTAGAGCATCACTATCGGGTGGAAAGACGGCTGGGTTGTGAGTGTGGGTATGGAGGTCTGGAGGGGGGGTGAAATTGGCGGCATGGTTGGGTGTGGGAATTTTGCTTGGGGTTGTCGGGAATGATGGGGAAAATATGGAAAAATATGGAATGAGTGTAAGGAGTGTTGGATAGTGATAGAATGAGTATTGTGAGCGTCAGCGGATATGTACTGCGTGTTGGTGACCAAATTCCGCAGAATCCGACTTTTTGCGGTACACGGAGTTGTCCCCACAACAACGTCCGCTAGTGCACTCCTGCCTCTGCTGGGCAATACACTTGCTTGCCCTGCAAGTCCACCTTCGGGCCTATCCCTCCTTTCCGTTTCTGGGTTATCGCCTACCATTCCGTTAACCCCGTAACCCAACTTGTCAGTAATATTCAATCGGCTAATGTTTAACCCCGTTAGCTCCGCTCGGCTTGGCTCCGCCATTTGCAGGCCCGCCCTCATTGTAACTATATATACTCAACTTGTACATAGGTTACACCTCAGTAATAAAATCGACTAGAGTTTACCCCCCTTCAGTTCTGGTTGCCAGTTTAGTAAGTTAGGGCATGGACGTGTTACTTGGCACAGCGCTCCTGGCATAAGTCGCTGAGGCTGAAGCCCTCTGCCATGGAGACATTCCTTTGTCTTGACCTGGTCTCTGACACCACCTAAACTTCCAACACTAGGAAGCAATCATCTAGCAGGGGGAAATGTACAGCATACTGACTGGCATGACCAACAACCTCTTCCCACGGCCTCCAGGAGTTACTGGAGCCATAAATCAATTCAATTTTGTTGATTTTTAATTCAATCCAAGACCTTCGCATGATGTGTGACAGGTTGTTGGTCGTGCCAGTACAGTATTCCTCCTGAGTCCATCTTGCCATGGTCCAGAGGCTGCCCCAGTGTTGCTTGCCCAATGTTTGCTTGCCCACTGGCTTTGGCTCTAAGAGACTCTCCTGGGTGAGTTGGTGCTGAACTAAGGATAGCGCTACTCAGAGAGGAGTCTGTTGGAAATGGGGCTCAGTGGTGAAACTCAGTCAGGATGGCTGTCAGCTCTACAGATCTATATTCAGTGTAAATAGGAGTAAATACATGCTATGCACTTGCTCTCCAACAGAGTCATCATCATCCCATCCATTTCCATGTTCTGCACTACCTTTCACACCCCATGCCCCTCCATGTCCCATATTCACCATTGGATACAGGTGATTTGTTCATCATCCATTTCTTTTTTTCAATGAGCAAACCCCAGAATATCACTATGAAGGTAGACAAGTGGTGACCACATTTGGCTAACATGTGGCTAGCCCTATCCTTGCACCAAGCTACCATCAGGCATGAGGAAATTTGTATCCGGTGCGACTACTGGACTTATCCGGAGCTCCAAATTCTTATGACGTAAACCAGCATGACTGGACAATTGACATAAAATGGACAAGCCTGGTATCGAACCCAGGACTTCTAGCATGCATCCATACACTACTCGCCCGTTATGCCAGGGGGGGGGGTACCCCTTCCCTTCCTCCAACAAGGCACACCTAGGCAATGCTACAACAGTACTCGTTAGCATGACCTGCCTAATAACTCCCTTCAACCAGGTTGGCGAACCTCAATCTCATGTCTTTTCTTAATTCCCCAGCCTGAATGGAGCGAATTCGATGAGGGTTGGAGCGGTCTTGTGGTTGTTGGCTACTGCAGGAAGAGATAGTAATGGGTGAATAGATGGGAAACCAATGGTTGATGGTTGGAGAGCTGGCCTGGGAGAAATAAGAGATTTTGGGCTGTTCTAATTGGTGTTAGTGTACTGTACTATAATGACCATAAGTTCATCGCATGTCACATGAAGATTTTGGATTGAATTGAAAATAAACATGATTGGATTGATTTGGGGTCTCTGGCAACTTCTGGAGGCTGTGGGAATGAACTAATGGTCGTTATACTACAGTATCTTGTCACTACCATGGCACCATCAGGGATCGGCCCCTGACCCTGCTGTCAGGGCACCCAACCACACCCCAGAACCACCCTCCCTGACTTCCCCCACTTCCCTGACCTCCCCATCCCTACATATCTCCCACAACTACAGCCTGCATGTGAGCCTGTGGGAAAAATCATGTGGTTCAAGGTGAGCAATTTGCCTTAACCCATGTGACACCTTTTCTGAGTCGCAGGAACATGCTTGGCTTTTACCCAGAGTCACGTTATGAACTGTACAGTACACTTCCCTTTTATAGCAGCCAGGCAGGGAATAGGGAAACTTACCCTTCTTCTCAACTCAATCCCCACTTAGTCCCTTCAGTGAGTTTGAGGAGCTGAGGACAGGGTCTAGCACCCAGCCACCCGGAACACTGCACACACCTAGGCCTGAGGCCAGGCTGTCCCCAATCGAGGACCAAGCCCTGACAGCAGAAGAAGGGTTCAACCTACTTCTATCCCCCTGGAAGATCAGATAGTGGAGCTGACCCGCCAGCTCCAAGATCTCCTGGCCCAACTGGCCACCCAGACCAGACCCACAGCCCCAGCCCCGGCCCCTACACCCACTCCGGCTTGTAAGCCACCCAAAGTAGCCACCCCTACCCCCTTCTCTGGGTCACAAGATGACCTAGACCACTTCAAGGCAGAGTGCGGACTCTACATGAGCATGTGCCATGCCGAGTTTCCAGATGAACACAGCCAAGTCCTGTTTGTCCTGTCATACATGAAAGGAGGGGCTGCCGGACCATGGGCCACCCAACGCATCAACACCCTCCTTGCCCCAGGAGCCCCAGCCATTTCCTTTGATGACTTTGCAGAGAAACTTGATTCTATGTTTGCAGACCCAAACCAGCAAGCCACAGCCTGTCAAAAGCTTGCCTCACTCCGACAAGGGAATGAGTTGGTAGACAAACTGATCCAGCAGTTTGAGCTGCACGGCCCAGTGTCACGAATGGGAGATGTTGCTCTGGTGGACCGATTTGAGCATGCCCTTCACCCATGCCTTTGCAAAAGCATCTATCGCCTCCGGCCCATGCCCACAACATGGGCAGAATGGAAGCGTGAAGCCTCCCTCCTTGACAATCAGTGGCAACGATTCCAAGCCACCCAAGCTCAAGCCCGCCCCCCAGCTGTCAAGCCATCCCCATTCCACTCCTGACCTCCTCCTGGGCCTGTTCCCCCTCCTGCTGCATCCACACCCTCAGCCCCAGCCCCGAAAGTGGGCCCCCAACCCATGGACCTGGACCGCATCCACCCCTCCAGGACCAAGCAGAGGCGCATTGGACCCTGCTATAACTGCAATTGGCTAGGGCACATAGCCTGAGACTGCCTGAGGCTGAGACCCTATCAGGCCCGGGCCGCATTACAAGGGGAGGCCCCTAGGGAGATGACCTGCCTGGCCCTGGAAGACCTCTGGGCGATTGCAGACCTGCTAAAGGACTGCCCCCTCACCCAGGAGCTGGACCGTGCAGAGGAGGAAGTGGGAGAGGAGAGACCCACTGAGGATTTTCGGGAGGATGGCTGGTGAGGGATGTGCCCCGGTCGTCCCCCAGCATCACTGTACCCGCATGTAGATACCATGGCAATTCCAGGACTACAGCGCAACCTAAGTTACACCGAGTGATTGCTAAGAAAAAAAGAGCCACACCCACAAAACCCCACAGAGAGAACCCACAATGCACCTTGGCTGAGGTTGCTGTTCCCCCACCTGCAATCTACATACTATCCAAATGCCCTCCCCAGTCCCTCAACCTTCTGGTGAAGCTGACTGCAACCACCTCTCTTGCCTCAGTGACCACCTCCACCCTCCTAGACTCAGGGGCCACAGGGATGTTTGTCAGTCATGAATTCGTCCAGAAGCATGGCCTGGAGACTACCCCCCTACCCCAACCAATCCCGGTCCACAATGTGGATGGCACCCCAAATGAGAATGGATCCATCATGGAGGAGGTGGAGGCACTCCTCATGTTTGGTCAACACATGGAGCGAGCTTGCTTTGCAGTGACCAACTTGGGGCATCAGTCAGTCATTATTGGTCACTTGTGGTTGACACACCACAACCCGGAAGTGGACTGGGCCCGACAAAAGGTCATCATGTCCTGCTGCCCACCTGCCTGCCAAAGGCTCAGGGTGGCGCCAATAGCTCCGAAGGAGCCTGACCTCACAGTAGAACCCGGGGATGGACTGTACGCAGCCATGATTCCCCCAGGATGGGGACACAACCTGAGGGCGACCACCACCCCATCGCAGCAGATGGCCCAAAGGGCACAGGACCCCACCCCAGGGGAAAAGCCTCTCGAGGAGATGGTGCCCGAGTGCTACCGAGACTTCAGGGATGTCTTCTCAAAAGAGGCCTTTGACCAGCTACCACTCTGGAAACCATGGGACCACGCCATCGACCTCATCCCTGAGGCTAAGCTACCATAAGGAAAGACCTTCCCACTGTCCCCCTCAGAACAAGGAGAGCTTGATGACTTCCTCAGGGAGAACTTGGCAAATGGGCAGATCCACCCATCCAAGTCCCCCATGGGGGCCCCAGTGTTCTTTGTGAAGAAGAAGGACAGCTCCTTAAGGCTGGTCCAGGACTATCGAAAGCTGAATGAGATCACTGTCAAAAACTCCTACCCCCTCCCCCTAGTTTCTGACATCCTCACCCACCTCTGGGACACCAAGTGGTTCTCAGCCCTTGACCTGCAGTGGGGGTTCAACAACATCCGCATCAAGGAAGGAGACAAGTGGAAGGTGGCCAACCAACCAAGGATTGTTTGAGCCAATGGTGATGTTCTTGTCAGGGCACACACCCTGACTAGCCCGGACCCGGACCCGCGTCCGGACCCGCTTCCACCTGCTGCGCTTCCTGCATGTGCGCATGCTCCATGCGCCGCATGCTCCGGGC